CAGTTCTCTGAGGCTTTGCTCAGGGACAAAACTCTGGATGTTCTTCCAAGTACAGCAGTAGAAAAGGTGAGGGCTTTGCCTTGATAAATGCTGTTATCTCTGGGTGTGTGTTCAGTGTATTTGAGAGAAGTTTTGACGCAGAAGAGAAGGGACTCACTGGAAGATGGCCAGTGAGTGTGGAATTAAGGCAATCTTGGGAGTTGGACTATTGGTTTTGTTTGGTGAAAGCAAGACATATAGCTGTGCAGAGTTTGCTCATGTAGTTTCTTTCCCCCTTGGATTCCCAGCCTGAAAGCAAGTGCTTCTGAAGATGACTGCTGAACTGGGAGAGGAAAACAAGAACCTAATGTTTCCAAGCCAAACCTTTGCTACCTTAGTCTTTGCTAACCCAGAGGCATTACCACTGAGCAGTTGCATGCTGCAGGCAATGTTATTCTTTTTCTCTCCCAGTTATAACTCACTCAGTTCTTATATCATCAAGTAATACTGTGAACAGGTCCAAACATCCCCAGCATCATTAGCAAGTTGTTGTTCCACAGGCTTCCAGTCAAGTATGGGTTTTGATATGTTGTCGACATCACTGAAAGACAGGTTTATCCTACAGTGAAGTTTAGCCAATTCGTGAAACAGCTCTGTCCTTAAAACGCGTCTTGTGATGCCCTGTTCCCTAGCCCAGGGCCATGGGAAAGTGGAAAACACACAGAGCACAGGCAGGTAACCAAGATTTGATACACAGCCCTCTGGAAAACGTGCACACAGATAAATTGTTAGCATAGTTCAGACTCTAGCTGACGCACATAATGCACACAGCTGAAGATGTAATGGAGATAAAGTTTGTTTACGAAAAGATAAATTCAAATCTGCCTTTTATCTGTCCAGGATGTAGCTAAGGATGTAGTTAAATGGATGTGGAATTAAATGAACTGTTAGAGATGGAAAAGGGCTAACAGATCTTCACTTGATAATCCCAGGTGGAGTTTGCTTTAAAAAAAAATAATCTTGTTTTCACAGCACTAAAGAATAGAAGAACTTCTGTTGTGGGCATTGATGTTGGTAGCTGAACACACTGAACACAGAGCAGCAGTTCTGGGCTTGGAGTCTCTGCACCATGAGAGGAGAAGCATCTCCTGAGATTGCAGGTAGGACTGCCAGAGAAACATGCAAAACCTCTCGTTTGGGAAAAGAGACTGGCATCTGGCCTGTGGCCCTTGAGAGGTTGTCAACTGCTGTGTTAGGTTCAGTCTTCACTTACCTCCCTGTCTGTGGGCCAGGAGCCCTGTGTATCCCAGGAATCATACTTCTTACAGAGCTTTACTAGGGAGCAGCTTTGTTCTCGGCCTCAGTTTTCACCAGATGATCCCTGAGGAGTTACAATACATCCCCATTTCCCACTCTGACTTGCTATTTGAGCTAACCAGCCTGGCTGGCTGAGCTCTGACAGACTGATTTCAGCAGTGGAAGTGGAGGATATTGAAATAGTGCTCAACGGAAGTGAAAGGCAGTACTCCGATAGTGGTGGTTTTTTTAGGTTTTCTTTTCTTACACCAAGAAGGTGAAAAGCTGTGTGTTTTGCATAGCAAGCCTGCTTTTGGCTAATGTGCTTGCCAGAGATTTGGATGTTCCCCCAAGCACAGTCTTTCCTGAACATAGAGTACTACAGACGTGTTCTCCACCATTGCCAGTACAGTTCCTTAAAAGCAAAGAAAGCTGTCTTTTTCTTGTAGGAATCTTGCTATCCCTTGTGGCTCTTGGTTTTGCAGTAATGTTGCATGGAAGAGGTTGAAGGAAAATGTTTGCTGCCTCCCTTTGGGACCCTGTTAACAAAAAAAGGACTAGTAGTCGCACACAAGCAGCTTCTTCCAAGCAGTATGCCTGAAGGTGCATAGAGCTTGCAAGAGGAAGGCTGAAGTGAAGCCATTGCTGTGTCTGCTGCAGGTCAGTGCTTCAGGCCTGATACTTGGTCTTGTGAGAATGTCCTGTTGGAGATATTGTAGTCACAGAGTTACTACTTGCAGGCTGCATACCCAGACCTCTAGCCTACCTCTCTAGAATTGCCTGGAGCTTATGAGGACTGCCCAGAAATATGGCAACACCTTGACTGATCCCTTTCTCAGTGCCTGTAATTGTTCAGCGGATCTCCTTCGATGCTAGGCTCAGTTTGAGCAGTAGTGAAATGTTTTGCTGTAGATGGAGGCAGGGTTGTACCGTGGACTAACAACCTCTCGTGTTTCTTCAAGGGCTTTTCAAATCTGCATTATTGTTTCATTTTTCTCTCCTAGGTCCCCTGATAACCGATGTCTTGCACTTAAATGCAGAGAGTAACTTGTCAGGAAGTATGGAAAATAAAGAAATGCAGCTTTGTACAGTGTACAATGCTGAGCCTCATCCAGGGAATCTGTGTGGTTTTTGCTGTGATGCATGGAGGGGTACAAGGTAGGTATGAAACCTGTTGACTGGCTTTCCTGTAACTTAGAGCAAACATCTTTGGTTCTCTGTGTATTCAGTAACAGCAGGAGTGCTAGCTTCTGAGATTTATGATATTGTCAACAAAAGCTTTTTTATGACTGAGCTCAATTTTTGATAAGAGCTGTGCAAAAGCAGTGTAGGTTGTATGTAGCAGTATGGCCATCTCCTTTTGAACTGTTAGGGTTAATATTTAACAGGTCTCCATGAGTTAAAATAGTCCTTTGCCGTAGTTTGTAAAACTACATCTCTAGTACAAGTAAGCATTTCCCTGGCTGTGGTTTTCATCTCTGCTATCTTTCCCTCTGCTGGTGGGGAGATGTATTCTGGACTGCCGAAGATCAATCTCTCCACAGACCACTAATTTTCATGGAGAGGATGGGATACGTATTGTGGAACTTGGGATGGGAAGAGAGATTGTCGGATTCTACCCATCAGTGAGATCAGGTCTGAATATGCTCATGGCTCAAATCAAGTGGCTCTAGGGTTGCAGAAGGGGTTCGTTACCCTTGGAGCATTTCATGTGCACGTGGCACTAGTGAAGCTTTGTTTTAACTGACACTGTTGATAGGCAAAGTGTGGTTGTACTGTACAAAGCCCAAATGACCAAGGTCCCACTAAGGGCAGTCTGTCCATGATGGCATCATTCACAGATATGAGAAACTTGAAATGTATTTTGGTGTTATGTGGAATACAAATTCAGATATATTAGATGCTCCCTTGAAACCAACTGAAATTCAAGGTGCTGTATTGTGGAGGTCACCAGGGTGATCTAATTCTTTTAAATTATACAACTAGTCACAGACTCAAGCCCATCTGTGTTCTGTTTTAGTGGTGAACTGACATACCTATCATTTCCTGGCCGCTCAGTGATCCCTATGAAGTCATGGGGCAAGAGTTCAAAAGCCAAAAGTAAAAGACCGGTCCGAGAGTTGGTGCTGGAGGATGATTGACTAAGAGCTTGCAAAGAAGAGCAGCTGAAGAGTGTGTATTGCTGCTGTCTGTACAAGCAGCTCAGAGCTGAGGAAGCACACTCTTGAGCCAGCTCGGGAACCTGACCTGCAGGCAGGCCTTTGTAACAAGTTTGTCAGCAATAGCAGGGTTAGATTGTGATGGAGTCATAGAATCATAGAATGGTTTGGGTTGGAAGGGACCTCAAAGATCATCTAGTTCCAACCCCCCTGCCATGGGAAGGGAAACCCTCCACTACACCAGGTTGCCCAAAGCCTCATCCAACCTGGCCTTGAACACTTCCAGGGATGGGGCATCCACAACTTCTCTGGACAACCTGTTCCAGTGCCTCACCACCCTCTGAATGAAAAATTTCTTCCTTATATCTAATCTAAATCTGCCCTCTTTCAGTTTAAAGCCATTGCCCCTTGTACTATTATTACACGCCCTTGTAAAAAGCCCCTCTCCAGCTTTCCTGTAGCCCCTTTAGGTACTGGAAAGCTGCTATAAGATCACCCTGGAGCCTTCTCTTCTCCAGGCTGAACAGCCCCAACTCTCTCAGCCTGTCTTCATAGCAGAGGTGTTCCAGCCCTTGGATCATCTTCGTGGCCCTCCTCTGGACCCGCTCCAGCAGCTCCATGTCCTTCTTGTGCTGGGGACTCCAGAGCTGAATGCAGTATTCCAGGTGGGGTCTCACAAGAGCAGAGTAGAGGGGCAGAATTACCTTCCTCGACCTGCTGGCCACTCTTCTTTTGATGCAGCCCAGAATACGGTTGGCTTTCTGGGCTGCCAGTCAACACCTTTCAGACAAGTGAAGTGCTGGATTGAAGTTTTTCCAGTGGCCCTAAAGGCCACTGGAAAAGTCAGCTTTATTAGAGAGGCAGGGGACTGTGACTCTAAGCCCTGTCCTCTAATGCTTGACCCAAGCACTACTCTGCCTTAAACACAGACTCCTCTGTTCTATGGTGGATTTGCAAGGAATCTGACTTCTTTCAGAGCAATCACGAAGTATAATGGATGTGTATCGAACTATCAGTTTTCAGGGGCAGGGCTTGCCTCTGGATTGGAGCTACAATCCAGTACTGCATGAAGAAGAAAATAAAGATCTGTTTATGGTTATGCCTAGAATCTTGCCTGAGCCCTTGGGCAGGTGGTGGTCTGACAGCTGGTTTCTTTGACTGTAACTATGGCTACTTCCATAATTCATGCAAATGTTCCCAGTGATGCTTCCACCGGATTAGAGGTAAAGGGTTTCCTTCTTATACTGGACTCTTACACTGGACTAACCTCATTAAGGAAAGTATAGGAAACTTCCGCTGCTTGCAGTAAAAGGTGTTCCTTTCCCCATTGTGTTGCAGTAAGCTTAGGGTGATAGATGGGAACAGTGCAAAGCTGCTGCCTTGCCTGAGAAATTGCATCTGTGTGCAGAGTGTCTGGGCATGTTGGGAGAGAGGGTGTGTGTTTTCTGGTAGGGAAATCCAGAGAGAAGACCAGCCCACTCATTCAACACACCCTCGGAAATCACTGCCTAGCAAGCACCTCTGGGCATCAGCAACAGAGCCTCTGTCAGTCCCAGGCATCTCACCATGCGTTTTTTCAGAAGACTTCCTAAAATTCCCAGAGCCCTCATCTGGCTCATTGTTTTAGCACACTTTTACATCTTCATTGCTAATTTTAGCTCCTTGTTTGGCTTGTTGAAGATAAGGAATTTCAGGTAAGAGACCTGCTTGTGATATGTACTATCTGGATAGAGTGCTTGTGCTCACTTTCTTTCTCTCTCTCTCTGTCTCTGTGTCTTTTTACCCTGAAACGTACACTTCCGATCTGAGTTAGATGACCACTTTGCTTTAGCAAACCACGTTGTGTACAATCAGAGCATTGTGTTGGAAAATCCACGGTCAAAAACTTATGTCTAGTTCTAACTTCACTAGATTCCAGTGTTTCCTTGTGTAGCTGTTTAAGAAAGCAGCTTCTGCTTTACTAATGCTGCCTCTTTTCATACTTTGGCACTACACAGTATTTGCTTTTCCTGGTAACTCCCAGAAGGACCTCATTCAGCCCTAGTCCAGATTGCATTGCTGGACGTTGAATTTGGTGGGATAACTTTGAATTTATAGCAAGTTCAGCATCTGATTCATAACACACATATGCTGCATACTGGGAGACCAATGTCATGCAGACATCATCTATCTATATATATGTATATATAATCTTGTAATATAAATGGTGAAGTAAATCCTACCAGAATGGGTGTGGAGGGAATTACAGTGTAGACTGCAGTAAAATGTCTCCAGCATCGTTGGTGGGAAGCACTGTTCCTTGCATGAGCGCCGCAGATATCTGAGCCTTTCCTACTACAAGCATGGCTCACTTACATGTTGGTGCCCTGTGCTGTGTATAGGAAGCACCGCTCCCCAGCCTCCCTGCCAGCCCTCATATGGTCCCAGCTTTCCTGATGAGCTCATTTGGCTTGTCTTGGTGGGGTTCGTTTTCAGCTGGACCTCACAGGGCTGATGCTGTGGGGTTAGGCAGGAGGGGTGAGTCTGGGAACACTTACAAGTCTTCTGGAGGCGGCATGAGTTTAGCTCAGCTCCAGTGACTTGAGACCACACCTTGAGGACAACTGTCGATTTGGAGAGGGTGGAATCTGCACAAGGGAGTGGGAGGGAAGGAGAGAAGGAGGATATGTAGAAAAGTGAGTTGTCCTTGATCGCAGAGCCCATCAGTGGCAGAGCTGGGACAAGAAGTGGCTCTCCATGCCCAGCTGCTTGAAGCCATTTTACTCTGCTGTAGTCTCAGATAATGGAAACGTCCATATTTTTGCAACTGAAGTAAAACACAACTAGGCATGAGTTGTACATGTCTAGAATCTGTATGTGTGAAATATCCGTGTGTCTGTTCTATTTCTGAACCTTTATATGCCACGTGCAATTCACAAAGCAGCGTTTTCATGGCTTTATCCTCTATTTGTCCTAGAGCTTTGTAAATGGAGAGGAAAATGACAATAAATATCATTGAGCTTCTGCAGTTGTTTGCCAGCTGGACTCTAGAGCCTGAAATTTGATGAGCTCATTTGACCAGTTATCTGGATTTAAAATGCTGGTCAGGAGATGAGGGTCCTGTGCAGTCACAAGTGCCTGGCCATGTGAGTCTGGCTGCAGGGAGCAAGATTTTTAATGTGAAGGGCCCTTGGTTTTACGTTTTGGTCTCTGTATGTTTGGCACAATATTTGAAATTAAAGTGTAATAGAGCTGGAGTGGCATCTGTGCCCTGAGAGACTGCACGTACGGAAAGTCCGAGGGGGAAGGTGGTTTGTCATATTGTCCTGTTCCATTTGTTCTCTGCCCTTTAATTTCAAAATTTTAAATATTGTCTTAAAAATACAACAGAAAATCATCCAGGGATTTAAGATCTGCCTGAGCTACCTTACCAAATTTTTCTTTACTTAGAGCGTATATATAAAATCTTTCCTCTTATGAGGTGGTAAACAGTAACAAGTTTATATGTGAAGCACTGCGATAGAAAGCAACTGCTGCGTACTTGGTTGAAACTGGCTAATGATTATGAAGGGAGGTAGAGGTCAAGCTGATAGACCATTTACCACAACCTCTTTTTCTTAGCAATAGTGTTGGAAAGGTTCAAGTATTTATCTGATATAAAATGATTTTTAAAAGCCTCCTTAGTTGATAATTTCCTAATCACTTTAATGAACGCCGTACCACTCTGAAGCTTCAGCAGCAATTGAACTGTTATCACAGCCTGCTATCTGCAGAAGTGGTTTTTTTCCCTTGTTTATCACCTCAGAAGCAATCCACAGCTCTCTGCAACAAATCCATCATGCAGAGGATGAACGTGAGTGTGAAATCAGAATACCACAACTATGCTGATTTATCTTGAAAAGCTTTGTTGTACATAAAAGCTCAGTTTCAGGTATTTTTCACCTTCCTTGTTCCTGTTCCACCCTCCAGCCATGTGCAGATAAGAATGAATGTTTGGGACAAAACCCCACCACTTCTGCCTTGATTTTTTTTTTTGCTGAGTTTCAGCCCAGTCTTGTTGCAGGTGGCTCTTCTGCTGTTGGCTGCTATATCCTCCTATGATATCCTGGTATCTGCCTGTACCTCTGAATCAGGCAGCAGGGCAGCTGCAATATTACAGGTGATTGCTGAAATGCAGAGACTTTACATTTTTAAGCTTCAGAGTGTATTTTAGTAGCTTCAAAGTGCCTGTCTTAAGGCATGTGCCTGGTGAGTCCTGTGGGATGCCATTGCATTAGCTGGCTAAGGCAGAAGAGGAGAGGAAAAAGATCCTTGTGGCCCCAAATGCCCAAGTGATGTGCAGTAAAGGAGCATTTCACTTCTTACTAGATTTCCCTTACTGAATTCTGAAAGATCTTTGTGCTTCGTTGCTGAAGCTCTTGGCTCTGCTGGCAAAGGAGGTAGAGAGCCAGATGGCTGCCTTCATGGTGTGTGCCATGTCCTGAACTCAGGATCTCCAAAACAGTCCTGCAGTGCTCTAGGGATGTTGCCAGGGGTCCTGCCCAGTGCAGGGCAAAGCTGTTGTGTGCTGGTTTGCAGATACTGCCAGAGTGGATGTTTTAAGAGCCAAGTGCTGAAGAGGAGTGTGTAGCCTCTGGGATTTGCTTGGTGGGGAGGTAAGCAGTATTCAGGCCAGAATGGTGTGGGAAGTTGAATAACACTTTGGTGGTGAAGTTGAAAATGAAATTGAATTCATACAGCATCCTGTAGAAACTCAGTGGCTGTTGCCAAGGCAAGTCCTCTGAGTGTGGTGATCGAATGCAGCAGTTGCTCTGAAGCACGGAGAGGGGTTCAGAGTCAAGAGCACTAGAAATGGGCTGGAAGGTGTTCAGCGTTAAGTGAAAAGTGTGTGTGATGTGTCTGCTTTTCCTTTGATTGCATTCAGGCAATTGAGCATTTTCCAGCGTGGCCCAGATATGCTACAAGTGGACACCCAAGAGCAACAGGGTTTAAACTATTCTGATAATGGGAACTCAACAAGCTTTTTAAATGTGACTTTGGGGAGAGACATCACAAGGCTCAAACAAGGTATGGCTGAGAGGATACCAGGATGGGAAGGAAAGAAGGAGCAGAAGAAAACAACGAAACCAGTTGCCAAGGTGGAGGAAGCCAAGGAGAACATGACTGTGAAACCACCCCCGAGGTTAGAGGGAATCAAGAAGACAACAGTGAAAACAGTCCCTAGGGTACAGGGAAATGAGGATAAAACAACAGTGAGACCAGCACCAGGAGTGGAAGAAGCCAAGGAAAAGACAACAGTGAAACCACTTCCTAGGGTGGAGGAAGCCAAGGAGAAGGCAACAGTGAAACCATCCTCTAGGGTGAAGGGAGCTCATGAAAACAACATATCTGAAGACCAAACAAAGTCAAAGGAGCCTCCTGCATCAGTGAAAACTCTAAGGCCTGTTCCTCAGACTCCCGGAGTGACAGAAAAGAAGAGACTGAGGGCTGCTGACTTCACCTCGGAGCCACGGTGGGATTTCGAGGACAAGTACCTGCTGGACAACTCAACTCCACCATCGGTAGGTGTGATGACCATGTGTGTTGACCATGTGTGTTCACCAAGAGTGATGCTTCCCTGTTGACCTCCTTGTCTGCTGTCCCCTGGACATGTGTGCCTTTGGCAGTCAAGGATGATCTCCAAGCTGGTAGAACAACTTCCTGGTATATGCAGATGCTGCTGGGACCTAGAGAGGGAGAGCCATAGGTATGACTCAGTTAGCCTGACCAGTCCTCCACCATGCTCCAGTATGGGAACTTACTGCAATTGCACACATTTCCATGGGTTCCTTTCAAAGTCAGCCTGAGCAGCCCTTTCTGGAGCTCAGGTGCATCAGAAGCTGGGGAAAATGCCTCTCCTTATGGATGTGCTGCAAGGCAGTCCTACTCTTAGGTGCCTTCATATATTGCTTAGGGGACTTAGACACACAGTGCAGTATATATGTTCGCTGTGACATGGCACCCTAAGGTAAGTTGGGTCACACCTAGTCTTGTGTTGCCTACGGGCAGGCGTTGGGTGTCTGGCACTAAATGACGGTCTTCGTACAGACATCACATCTGTCACCTGGTCTCTTGGAAAATTGAACATCTACTTTCCTCTGAAGACTCAGGTTTGCAATCCCTGGATTTGCCTTGATCTTTGTTTTATGCAGCCCAGCTAAAGAAAACAAGTGAGGCCTCATGGTGAGGGAACAGGGATAGGAATACCTCCGTGTGCTTGTTGACCCAAGGCACATATGTACCAAAGCAAGTCAACAGCTTTGGCAGCAGTGGCGCAGCAGAGACGCTTGTGCTCTGCTAGGCTGTGAAGAATGACACTGGCAGTGATGGTGAGGAGGGTCTCAGTGCACAGGAATGGAGGCTTTGCTATTTGCTTGTATTAAAGTCAAAATAAGGTCAAAGAAAAAGGGTTAGATGAGGACTGATAAGCATGTACCTGCCTGCTTTGGAGACAGTAGGGTGGGGACTGTTCCAATCTTTAAGGTTTTCTGTCAATATTGGTGAAAATTCAACTATGTGTGTCCTATTGGAGAAATTATGGTTAAAAAGTAACTTTCTTTACTGTTCTCATGGTTTATTATCAACAAGGAGAGTCCTTCCCAGATGTTGCCAGTTCACCTTTTCCACCCTATAGGTAGTCACCCATAGTGAGCAGGCAGATTCTTTACCCTTTGAGCTCCATGACTCAGGCGGACCCAGCGTGTCGGGTTGCTATCTACAATTATTTTGCTATGCATTGAGCCATCGTCACAGCAGAGCAAATAATTCATAACAGATCTGGCATTCAACAAGTCTCGCTTTGTTCCTCTTTGTTAAATAGGAACAACTGTGGGCTGGTCAGCACAAGACAAGTATCTTGGTAGAGGTGAAGATGGGCCTCTCAAATGATACAGTTTTACCTGTCAGGGCAGTAGCACTTGCACAGCTACAGCTTCAAAGTTTTCTTACAGATCCTGTTTTTTGGGAGTGTTGTTCTGTAGGTTTGTTCTCATGATCACCTCTGCCTGTGTGGGTCGTATTACTGATGTGATCTTCCGAAACGGTAAATCTGGTGCCCGTTGTTAGGTTGTTTTAACAGCCACGGAATTGAAAGCCTGTCTTTTCTGTTTTGCACTGAACTCTTGTTCTGACCATGTTTTTGACCTTTCTTTTTTAGCTCTGAGGGTTTGGAACTAATTTAAAATGAAACTTGAGCATCTCATAATTACTTGGGTCCAAGAACAGGGCGTTTAGGAAAGCTGTAAACTATAGCGAAGTTCTCAGCAAGCGGATAAGGCAGATTGTGGTGCACAATACTGTCTCTGTCCCCCATGCTATACTAGTAACTCTTTGTAAAGCTTACCCAGAGCAGTTTTCCCCAGCACCCCTGTTGCTGGGAGGCTTGGACAGGTTGGGTAACCCTCTCTGAGGGTGAGAAAGGTCTTTAGAAATGGGTGTAATTGACCCTTACACACTGCTTGTATGCTCACGGAGGAAGGAGGGTGTAGGCAGGTGAGCAGAGGACAAGAGTACCTGTTGTAGCTCGGTGATCTTAGATGAACCATTTGCCTATTTAAAGTCTCTTATGTTGTGATCTTCCACCACAGCCCTGTGTGGTTTTGGTGGTATTAGGGAGAATGTAGATGTTGCTCCAGGGGACTGTCAGGCCTGCAGGCACCATGTTGTTCTGCTCGGACCTCTCCCAGTGGAGCAGGGGTTACTATTGAAAAAAATCCCATTCCCCAACCCCAAGGTGCCCAGGATGCCCTGGGAGACATGCAGGGAGCAGAGGTAGATGAACTGGGCCGATAAAAGATCCTGGGATGAGTCCTGTTCTGATGTTTTATTTTTGAGTTCGCTCTGCCTTGCGGTGTTTTCATGTTGTTCCCCGTTATCCCTTTTGTCAGTGCAAGCCGTTCTTTGGCTGATGGGGTGTGCTCTTCAGTGTGGCATTGAGCTGTTTGAGAGGAGCAGTTGGCCCCAAAGATATGTCTGTTATCCAAAGATCTGTCTATTAAATGTGGAACTTGGCTGTTGAACACTTGAGCTCATGCACTGACCCAGCCTTACTGAGTCACAGGAGATGGGCCTAGCAGGTGATCCAGTCTGTGGTGCAGGATGTGCAATCTTCTTCCTGGGCTCCTCATGGACTCAAGGCACCCAGAATACAAATAGGAGTGGGTGAATTACATGGCTAAGAGTGCATATGCTGTATGGGACAGTACCTCACCCTTCCTGCCCAGTGTTACCGCCTGTAGACACAGCGGGGTTAAGTCACCACGATCTTGCTTGTTGGCTGCCATATACACCCATCTTGTCATCTGATGAGCTGCAGAGCAGGAGCTGGCAGAGAAATGTGAGATAATGATTCACAGTAGGAAGCTGAGAACATCCTCCACTGTAACTGGGGCTGTAGAACATCTGGGTGTGCAGAACAGCTGAGACGGGGGAAAACACCCTTCCTCAGTAGTGAAGAGAGGAGAAAATGCATGCAGAAGGGTCTTTAGTGAAGATGTAGATCCAGACATCACATGTTGGGTCTCACTCCCAAACCTGATCTCAAATTCTGCAGAAGGAGTGACTGGAAGCACTCCCACCTCCTTAATTTCCTACATGATCAGACTTTTCCCTAGTTCCTCTGGTATTGATCCAGTCTAGCCATGGAGGCACAAGAAGTACCAAACCTTCGACAGTACAAAGTACGGCTTGAACAGGAAGGGAATGTCCTTGTCTCCGGACATGCAATGTGCTGCAAGTGAAATGATGCCAACATAGAATCATATGATTCAGCCAACATGAAACCCTTCACAGTGTTCTCCTCGTTGCACTCCTCTTGTAACAGGCAGAATGAGGGCTGTCTCCTCAGGCTGTGACTGGGCTGTCATCCTCACGCGTAGCAGAGAGCCCAGTTCAGCTGTGGAGCACACAGCAAGGCTCTGGCAATGCAGTCTGGTCACTGTTGGGGATTTGAGCTGGGCATTGCAGGTCCACGCAGGTCCACTTGCTCTCCTGTTTTGTCTTTCAGTAGGTATTGCAGCAGGTATTTGGGAAAGATGTCTAAGGAAGTAAGAGCCCAAATTGACTCAGTGGAAAACCCAGCGCAGTGGAGCCTAACCCTTGCCAGTTGCAATGAGACCCCTCTTGTTAGAGAGGATCATCTGACCTGGATTCTCTTCTCAGCCACATGCTTCTCTGTGATTCATTTATGATGTTGAACAAGTTGTTTGCACACTTTTTCTTATCTTTAAAGGGAGTGATAACAGTGATCTGATCGCACATGTTCCTCAATGTGTTTGTTCACGTGTGGTCTGAGGCCAGGACCTTGTGAGGTGTGTCGCCAACAGGGACTGCTGGTCCCATACATTGGTATGTTTAGGTTAGACCGATTACAGATACTCATTTGCATCAGTCAATGAGGCCCAAAGCCAGTAGAACGTGTGAGCATCACAGGCCTCTTGTTCTGAAGAGGAAAGTCTCAGAGACTTGGAGTCACTCTGGCTTCCTTGATGGTGACTTTCCACCAGTTAGTTATTGATGTAGTGTTGAAATCAAGCCTCATGCTCATAGTGATGGGGGCACTGAGGGGAATGGATGATGTACCACTGGAGTTTCTGTGCTTCTTTCCGATCCTCTCACACACAGGCACGCAAGCACTGGCACTCAGGTTTATCAGCTCCCTGCTAATCAGCCCTTATTGTTTTCTTTTTGTTTTTCAAGACCTGCTCTGAATCAGTGAAGGCCAAAGCTGCCAAGTCTGACTGGCTGCGAGATCTTTTCCTGCCCAACATCGTGCTCTTCACAGACAAGAGATACTTCAGTGACAGTGAGTGGAACCGCCTGGAGCACTTTGCACCTCCGTATGGCTTCATGGAGCTGAATCATTCATGTGAGTCCCTCAGGGTATGTCAGGATGGAACCATCAATCCCGACAGGAACCTTATGCCAAGTAGCTGGAGGTTTGCAGCATCTCCCTGTCAAAGATGTCAGGCTAGGTGCATCTTATGGTGGAAACTGTGGTGCTTTCCCTGTGTCTATCCTGAAGGCCCTTGATGCTAATTCTCCACCTTGTTTGCTTCACAGTGGTGGAGGAGGTCATGTCTCTGCTGCCTCCGAATCCCTACCAGCAGCTGCTCCTGGCCAGCAGCAACAGCAGCATGCCGACATGTATCAGCTGTGCTGTTGTGGGGAATGGAGGAATACTGAATAACTCTGGGATGGGCCAGGAGATTGACTCCCATGACTACGTCTTCCGGTAAGGCAAGCTTCCTTCTTTAAAGAAAGATACACAGCTAGCCTATTCTGGCTAGCAGATAATTGTGGCTGGATATCTTCACCTTTTCTGGTTTTCCACTGACTCCCAAGAGCCAGAATGACTGATGGCAGGAGGAGGTGGAAAACCAAAAAGGAATTGAAAGGTTCTTAAACACACAGGAAGAGCCTGGGTTTGCAGATGAGCCATCTCCAAAGCAGGGGCTGTCCTGCAGATCAAGAGGTGTAGCTTAAAATGGGCCTAATCTTCCCATCCCCCAGACTAGCGCTGTCTTTTCCTGTTATAAATGTGGATGCGAGGATTTTCAATGGTCACCTGCTAACTCTGCTCCTCTGTTTGATTTCCTTGGCCAGGGTGAGTGGGGCTGTAATCAAAGGTTACGAAAAAGATGTGGGAACAAAAACCTCCTTTTATGGATTCACAGCCTACTCCCTGGTGTCCTCTCTCCAGATCTTGGGACACAGAGGGTTCAGCAACATTCCACAGGGAAAAGTAAGTCAGGTCCATGCTGTATGCATGCGCAGCTTTGACAGGATGCTGTTAGTCTGTGGCCTTCAGTTCTGGTCTTGCCGTGCATGGGGAGCAAAGAGGCTGAGCTAATATTTTAGCATTACCCAAGCACTGGCTTGGTTTGGGGTGAGTATTTGCAGTGACAAGCTGTGTCAGAGCTACCCCAGCCCTTTGGGGTAGAAGTAGCTGCACATCAGATGTTGTCTCCGTTCTGCTTCTATTGGATAGTTAAAAGCTGCAGACCAAAGATGTGTGTCTGAGAAACTCAGTGAGCCTAGGTGCCTGCTTGCTTTTTAGTTTTGAAGGATGTGTCTGGCTTGTGCTGTTCATTAATGCTCACTTGTTTTCTTAGCATGTCAGGTACATTCACTTCCTGGAGGGACATAGAGACTATGAGTGGCTGAAGGCTCTTCTGCTGAACAAGAACATCAGCAAAGGATTCTTGAACCACTACGGGTAAAACAAACCATCCCCAGCTCTACACCCTTTGGCTTGGAACTCTCTGCTGTGCCCTCTTCCTCTCCACAGTGCTCATCCCTGCT